TAATAACTGCTCAGTCCCAGGTGAGGGTGGAGAGGAAAAGTTCACACTGAATAATGCTTGTCGAGGTTCTCTGAGTGAGTATCTCTGGTGAAGGGCACTACAGTATGATGATAATTGTATTGTCAATATGCTGTTGGGAAAGATGGTTTACGGTGACCTAAGGAGCTTTTCTGTAACTATCTAATTTTTGTTTATGTTGCATGGGGTTGATGGACGTTCAGTGCTCTCAACATCAAGGAGTGGATTATTTGAATTAGGCAATGGTAATCTGTGTAATCTGTATAAAGTTAGTTAGAAGCTGCATAATGCAGAACAATGAAGTCCTCACAAAATGCACAGGGCGAACATAACTCATTTGTGCTGAAGTACAACATACATTGAAAATACCACTTCTCCCTATGTACAGGTGTTTGGGCTCCTGCAATGTTGGAGAGGAGTATTTATATTAAGCATCTGGTCTACTTTTTTATTACTTTGATCAGCATCTGCATGTGATTGAGTTCTCAAGTTGGCCAGAAAAGCAGCTGAGGTTGACAGACAAGATAGGGGTCAGCTGCTTTCGTATAATTATATATTCTATTTGGACAGGTAGGAAGGTGCCTTTCCACTCAGCAGTCTTCATGAAAGATAAAGGCTTTGTGACAGCACATCACTTGGACAGAATATGAAGGACTGCAGATAAACTAGGATTTCAGGCTACAGGGATTATCAAATATTGCAGCGCTGCAGGCTGAGATTTATCAGCTACCCAGCCCTGGTTCCTATTTGCCTTTGCTGAAATCCTTTTGAAGGGTGACAGCATTCATGAACTTGAAAACTGTAAGCAGGCAAAGTACAGAAGTCAGGATTTCTTATTACAGGAGAAATGGAAAAAAAAAATTGGGAAGATTACAGTGGAAACCATGTCATGGTGAATAAGGGGTAAGGCTTCAGTCTTGGAGAGAACTGGCATCCAGCCTAGTTTAAATTAGATGTTAGGTTGTTGGGTTTTTTTTAAACTTGATCTTGGATTTCCTTCTGTCACCTCATATCCTTTTATGGTCAGTAGCACTGTAGCTATGCATATTTATTAGATTTAGACATATTTTCAAGTCACCTTCACAACAACTTCACTTCTTTTCCTGGAAAAACTGGTTGGTGAGGTAGAGACTGAATTTGCAAGTCTAATCTTTGGCATTTATTAACCCTTATTAGTCTGGTTGCTCAAGGGACAGGTATGTTTTCAGGCTTATTTGCAATTTAATTTCCTTCTATATATTGATCACAGTCCATACTTCTGGTCAGATTTCATAATCCAGATTCCCTTACACATGAAAATGACCTATATATTCAACATCCTGGGAGAGAAACAGTGATCCTGCTGTCTGAGAGACAGCAAGAATTAATTTGAGCTAGAAGCACTCTGTCTGTTTGCTTGTGGTATTTCCAGACCTGCTGAAGGCCTAGAAAGCGCAGCCACTGAAACAAACACCGTTGCTTATTGAGGCAGAGGTTGGTGCACCAGGAGACACATTGTTGGAATAAACACAGCTGTGTTTTTTCCGTTACAGTGTTCTCATTTACTGGGTCAGTCAGCCACATACCTTGTCTGTGCAAAGGTACAGGGTAAATACCTGTCCTTGCGGAATCACTAGGACTAGAGGATCTACTCTTGAACTTCATCTTGGATAGGGTTCTCCAATGTTTAAATCAAATAAAGCTGTGGTTATACCTATTACAGGGAATGGTTAGAGCTTATTAATAATCTGCCATGGAATATACAGTCAACCTTTGTAATCTATTGTGCTTTCAAATGCCTAATCGCTTCCAATTCTGCCATGATGGTCTCCAAGCCATGCTCCCCAAGTTACGGTTTCAGATAAACCCTTCTGAGTTCCCTGTGAGGAAGACTCTTCCCTTTCAGGAGAAGAAAACTTTTTATCTGCATCGCTGTAATTGAGAAACTCCTGAACAGCTTTTCTTCCCGTTCCCATGTAAACGTCAACTCTGGGCAAACCCGCAGCCACAAAAAATATTACAGTTCAGGGTTTCAGAGGGAACAGTGGCCTTGTTTCCAGGAGAATAGCCTGAAACACAGAGACTGCCCACAAGCAGCGATGCCCAAGGGACAGGGCAGCTCCAGGAAGCAGCTCGTGTTCTGGGACTGGAGCAATTCCCACTCCTGCACCGAGTTGAGCTCAGCTTCACCGCCAGGCTTAGTTTGGCTAATGGGCATTTCTGACCCTGATTTTCACTTCAAGAAAAAGTCATAGTTGGAATGATTTTGAAAAGCAGGATTTTCTGTACAGTCATAGGGTTTATAGTGGGCCAGCAGAAATGTGTGCATTAGATTAGTACTAGCTGGATACCCGGTGGTGTGTGGAGCTCCCACCAGGCTTCCAGGCCATAAGAAAACCCTCCTGGCTTTAGCATAGGGGCAGATCCACTTGTCACATGCCAACAGCACAATAAAAGGACTTGTTCAAGCCACGAGATGTAAGGCTCAGTGGAAAAATAGCCTTGAGTTACCTGGATGCAAAAGAGAGAATTCAGCACCTGTGGCAATGAACAAAGTCGGGCCCTGTTATCAGCTTGGACTGGTGCCACCAGCGGAGACAATCTGCCGTTTCCAGTGTGCCATTTCAGTTGAAACTGTTTGGACCTGACCTGGGAGTACAATGCTGGGATTATTGTCACAGCAGGCTTGGGAAGCAGGGCTCTCTTCCTGAAATTCACTGTAGTCTTTGCAATGAAACTAATCCGATTGTATCCTCCAATTCCCCTTTTTGCAGTACTGCCTGGGAGGGACACACACAATACGATCAAATTCTCTTCTCTGGCATCTCGTGTACTAACAAGCATTGTCCTACCAGCACTTCCCAGGGTGAGTTGGCTTCCCTAGTTCCCAGGTAACCCAATTTTTTTTTCCCCTCAATTTTTCAATTAAGCAGAAATTAATTCCACTTCTGTGAACCACTGGCCACATTCTGCTCCCAGGTACTGATAAAAATGCAGAATTAATCACTTGCCCACCAGTTCTGGGTGGAACCCCCAACCTCTTCATACCCGCAGCGCAACTTTTCATCAAGCA